AGCACCTGGCCGGAGGAGCGTGGTTAGGAGCCAGGGGTGCAGGCTTCTGAGGGCGCTGGGAACATCACGGTGTGGCATCCATACACACTGGCAGTGGTGAGCCCAGCCTGGTCGGCGCCGACTCCCGAGCACTGCCTTTGCTCTGTCTCTGGCCACCCTCAGGTCCCTCATTTGCCCTGAGACTTGGTTACTTCACTGGCAAAGTTGATGATGACATCTTGTCTGTGAGGTTCCTTCTTTGGATGTGGAGGAGAGATGGGAGAAAGAAAAATCCTTTACTGCTCAATGCGGGAGGGCTGCCGAAAAGAGGCAAGGACCCTTTGGGAGGGAGCTGAGAGTGGGGGTTATTATCGGGTTGGACTAGAGGTGGAGCTTACATGGAGAGTATGTGTGGTACTAGGCGCTGATCAGGAAAAGCTTGGCTTGTGAGATAAACAAAAGAGGAAGTTTAAGGTTAACCAAGCGGAACAAGATGGAAATCAGTCTAGGAGCTGCACGTGGTTAGGCTTGGATCCCCACGCCATGGTACCCGGCTGACTGTTGCCTGGGTGCAGACCCATCACCGTCTTAGTTCTGTAAGGAGATGATCATCTGCGCACTGCATTCTCAAGTCATAGAAGTTAATTTTACTCTGAGTTCAAATATTTTTCTGCTGCTCCTACTACTATTATCATTTGCCTTTGAACACATGAAACAGGGAAGAAACTTCTATATTGCATGGTATGTTATAGTAAGTGATATTCGGGGTTATCGATGTTTATTAGATGGGGTTCTCTAGAGGAACAGAAAAAGCATGCGTAACTATGCAGGAGATTTATAGGACTAGAGGCAGGAGAGCCCACAGTGGTGGCCGTGGAGAGCAGGAGGACCCAGTAGCTGCTCAGCCCAAGAAGGCAGAAGTACCTGGCAAGCGCAGGGGCCTGAGCTCAATCCCCAGTATAAAAAAAAAAAAAAAAAAAAAAAAAAAAAAAAAAAAAAAAAAAAAAAAAGATGAAGGCAGAAGTACAAAACAAGAGGGATCAAGGCTGCAGCACAGTCTGAGGTTGAAGGTCTGGAAGCTTCTTGGAGAGTTGCTGGTGTGAGGCTGTGCGACGAGGCTGAAGACACTGGAGACTGATGTCTAAAGGTGCCAGCAGCAAGGGGCATACCTGCTCAAGCAGCCTGGAATGCCTCAAAAAACCTGTCAAGATAGAGCTGGGGATGTATTCAGTGGCATAATGCCTGCCTGCTAAACGCAAGATTGTGAGTTCAATTCCCAGTGACAACAACAAGAACCCCAAATTCTATCAGCTTCTTCCTTCCCTTTTATTCCATTGAGGCTGCAAGCCAATTGGATTCTGCCGCCCACAACCAGGGTGGACTTTCCCAGCTAAATTTGCTGGCTTATAGATCAGTGATCCCTGGAAGCACCCCTCAGACACACCCAGAAGTGGGCTTTACTATTCTCCTAAAGTTTCCTAACACAATCAAGTTGACATATCATGATTAATAGTCACACCAGGAAATCTGAATTTGCATCAGAAAAGTAACTTCCTGATCCCCAGTAGCTGCTGTTTTCAGACTGCCAGACTGGGAGGTAACATACCTGCTAGGATTGCTTCTGAAGGTACCTGGGCAGCTGCCTCCAACACGGCTGGAGGCCTAGCTGCTTTCCAAATGCCATGTTAAGGCTGGAGCAGAAGGTCCTTAATTCTATAGCCCTCGGTTTGCTCCTTGCACAGAGCATGTTTCCATTCTGGGTAATTTTTTTAGTGATATAGGTGTCCCCCCTCACAGAGGAACCAATGTGCTAAGCATTCTGGCACCTGTGCCCCAACAGCAGGCACAATGCTTAGCACATTGTAGGTGGGCATATTAGTCACTTTTGCTGGGGCAAAGCACGTGAGGTACCCACCACAGGATTTTAATTCATGGTTTCTGAGGGCTCAGTCTATGGCTTCTGCCTCAAAGGCAGAAACAGCATGGTGAACAGGATGGTGGAGGAAAGCTTTCAACCCATGGCAACAGGAAATGGAGACGGGGAAAGAGCCAGGGAGACAGAAAGGGGCCAGGGGCCAGGGGCCAGAATGTACCCTTCCAAGGCAACCCTGTGACCTGCCTCCTCCCACCTAGCCCTCCCTCCTCACAGAACACTCAGCTGTTAACCATCAGTGGGTGAGTCCACTGTCGGGTACAGCGCCCCACGATCCAGTCAATTTTCAACAGCTCCACCTCTGACAACATGAGTTTTGGGGGCACGTTTCAGATGAAACTGTGACAGTGAGGATGGTAATGTCTTACGTTTTTCTGAATCAGTGCATGAACACATGTGATGGGAGGGGAGGGGAAGGAGGCTAGCCTAGCGCAGCACACCTCGGGGGAACTGCTCGTGGTCCCAGTCCCTTTTGTGTTCCTGAAGCTGTATAATACATAAAGAAAGAGGCTGAATTGGTTGATGATTCTGGCACCTGGGGCATCCAAACAGCACAGTGCCATTCTGGGTGGCTGCTGGCTGCTTTGCCCCATGGTATGGAGGGGAAGCAAAGGGGAAGTGGGGGTGAGCAACAGAGAGCTGCAGACAGCCAGGACAGGCCCCCTTCAGAGCACCCTGCTCTCGGCACAGCTGTCCCATGAGCAAAGTGTTCACTCCGTAAGAAAAGCCCAAACTGCTCTTCAGTAACTTCCAGAGGCTCTGCCTCCCCATACATTTCTGTTGGTGGGGACAAGCCAGACCCAAACTCAGTACTCATTTTCTTGTTGAAGATGTGTCCAGGCAGTGAGACCCTGCAACCTTTGTCTCCCTCCATCAGCCTAGGAGAAAGCTTAGTGTGGCAGACGAGGGACAGGTTTGAGGGCACAGGGGAGGCTTGATGGGGCCTTTTCAGGACATGAATGTATGTTTCAAATACCTGGAGCTGCAGGTGTCTTCTTGGGACTTGAGACTAAGGTACCCAAAGGGGTTTATTTAAAACTCTGACATGTCTGCGAGCTGTGAGGCAGGGTGGCTGTGGTCAATTTGTTGAAGTAAATAGTGTAGCTATTTAGTAGATATAGTGGAAAACATTCAAGAAATTATTATTAAAAGTGATATACAAGTTCACTACAGAAACTGTAGAAAAGACTGGGCATAAGAAGCAGTGGTACCATCCTGTGGGGAGAGCTTGCAGTGGGTTGGTGGATATGTTCCCTATTTTCTATACATGTTATTTGTATAGGATTTAGTTTATATTGTACATAACGGCAAGAAACCTGCTATAAGAGAAAGAGTGAACAGTGATTGCTGTGCACAGCTGCATGTCCCTGGAGACCTAATTTCAGGCTGTGCCCTGGGGTGCGACACTGTCCTCAGATGGCCCTGTGGAGAGGGTGTTTTCAACTTGAGGCTACTGAGAAGAGATGTTCTCGTAGCTAATCTTCATGTACATCTGTGTTATTTCTGTACAACACTTCAGAGGAGGATATAGGATCCAAAATGATGGTAAAAAGTCGCATTTTCTACTCTTACCAGAGAATTATGTTTTAGGAAAGCCTTTTCAGTTTGTTAGGTGAGGGAAGGCAGTAACTGTTGGATCTGGCATTTTGCACAGTGCGCTGGTCCTTTAATCCTTCGCCATTCCCCTCTTGGCCTTCCTAACTGGTATACTTGCCTTTTCCTTCTGGATTTGGTAGAACTCTTCCTGAGTGACCCAGCTGTTTCTGCACTGAGTTGAAAGTCCACTGTTCTGGGGCTCAGTTCCTTGTGCTTCGGTGGCAGACACCTCCCTGACTTGAGGCGCTTAAGTCACCAGCAAGAGGGCCTGTCCTGTGCCACTGTCCTCAGCCTCAGGTCATCACGTGTGTGGACTCCTGCAGGAATGGCAGAGGCAACCAAGCACGTCTCAGGTGGCCTTGGGTGGTCTTCCAGCAACCTGAGGACATTGGCCCAAGTGGCTGAAGGTCAGCCACGCCCCCCTTGGGTCCCCTCCTCTAAGAACAGCCCTGGGATTTGCTCTGTTGAGTGGTCCAAGACAGGGTGCCCTGTGCAACAGAATGTGAATCTCATATGTGACTTCAATTGATCTAGTTTTTTTTTTCTTTTTTTGTATTTTAGGGAAGGGCCTACAGAGTGTTCAGAATCTCACTACTACCTCAGGCTCATAGTGATTCACCTGTTTACAGCCTCCCAAGATCTGGGATTACAGGCACGTGCCACCGTGTCCAGTCTCATTTGCCATCTCAGTGCTCCCCCTGGGGGCAGGGCAGGCACGGCAGGCCTGGGGATGGAACCCCTGGCCCCTGCGCCTGCTTGCAGGCGCTTTAATCCATTGAGCTATTTGGCTGGCCCTAATTGATCTATTTGTGATGTAAAAAGAACAAGAAATAGGTGAAATTAGTTAAAAATTATCTTTTTTTGGCAGATTGAGCCCAGGACTTTTACACAGAGCTTCATCTCTAGCTCTTTTTTTATTTTTTATTTTTTTACTTTAAGATAGCATCTTGCTAAGTTTGAAATTAGCTTCCCAGGCTGGGCTTGAACTTGAATCTCCCTGCCTCAGCTACCAGAGTATTGGGATTACAGGCATATTATCTTCACAGTTGGCAAAATTATTTTTAACAATATATTTAATCCAACTCGGTATTTCTGAAATATTATAACTCAATGTATAATGAACACAAAAAGTCTTTGTTTTCACACAAAGTCTTCCGAATCAGTTGTGTATTTTACACTCACTCAGTTCATTTCAGTTGGGGCTCACCAAGTGTCATGTGTTCAATAGCCACACACAACCATATGGGAATATGCAAGCCCCACAGCAGAAATTTGACTTTGGAAAAGCCAAAGCCCCAAACATGCATTGAGGACCTCAGGCCAGCCATCTTCATGAAGATGAGAAGGGCTGGGGGCCACTTTGTGAAATTTCTGACTGAAAATTCCTGTGAGTGTGTTCACTCCTGTACTAGTATGGATGTGTTCCATATGGGTTTCCACAGTGGAGTGGTTATCATGTTTGCTTCATAATGTGTGTGTGTGTTTCTTTAAGGGCCGGCAGTGACTGTGTCCCAGCCCCACTTGGAAGCCAGTGCCAGGCCCCTGAGCCCATGGTCCAGGGCAGCCTGCATGAGGCCCATGCACGGAGAGACTCGCTTCTCCAGGAGAAGCAGCAGCTACAGGTAAGAAGGAAACAGATATTGCAGAAGGGGTTGGGCTTCTCACACTGAAGTCAAATATGGCAGAATGGGTCTGTGCTTTGCCAAAGGAGAGGTGGTGGGAGTGGCTGGGTGGCTTGTAGGAATCTTGTCACAAATGAGGACCAGACTCTCCTCTTGTGCCATCATTTGACCTTAGACACTTCCCTTGGAAGGCAGAGACAGCCCTGCGCCTTGGGAATGCTTTGCAGGAACTCCTGGTGTGGTATGCTGTGGGCTGCGCTTCCACAAGCGGAGTTACAGGTCTACACTGCAGGATGGGTGCGGCTGGACTGACCAGAAAGCTGAGTGGCAGCCATGCATGGCCTTAGCAGCGCTGAAAGTTGGCCCAGAATCACCTGGGGTTGGAATCTGGGCGCAGCACCAGGATAAAGCCAGAAGCCAGTGAGGAGCCCTGGAAGGGGACAGGGCAGCTTAGGGTGAAGTGGAGCCCTGGCAGCTAGAGCTGACATAGAAATGGGGTAGGGGGCGCTGGGGAGCGCTCATCAGTGGCAGTGGCTTCAGGAGGGAGCAGGTCCTCACCATCTGAGTCCAAAGCATGGTGCAGGCTCTAAGTAGCCGATGAGCATGGACAAGCTCTACTCTTGCACAGAGTGTTCCTGGGTAAGTGGCTACAGTAGAAAGCTGGCAAAGGGAGGTCAGGTTCCCCAGTCTGGACGTGGTGCCTGACAGACTGAGCCCTCAGCTCTGCCATGAGCCTTCTATGGTATGGATAGCAGTATGGGATCTGGCTTTGAGTTTTTAACAATATTCACCTCTGTTCCTGTGAATATCAGAGAACAAACCGTTGGGTGCCAGTATTCACTACTAGAAGTAATGTGTTCATTGCTTGGTGCTGGTGTGTCATACTAAAGCATTCTATGCTGTCGCTTGGTGTTGGTGGCACTTTAGGAAAAGTGTTCCCTAGTGTTCCCAGCACTCTAGGGAAAGGTGCTTGAATCTTTGTCCATCCCATAGGTCTTCCTGTGGGTCTGAGTGTGCCAGATGCCCTTTGAATGCTCAGGATCTTTGTGCAGGTTCCCTGGGGTGGCATTTGGGAGACACATGGCAAATATTCTAAGACTTAAAGTGAGGGAGTTGGTGGGTTGGAGCTGGTAAGGGCCTCAGTGTGCAGGCCAGGGAGATGGGTGAAGAGCCGAACTGAGGAGGAGGCAGGCCCTGCATGGGTGTCTGAGCATCTGGCCAGGGAAGAGCCATCTGAAGGCTGGAGGCTGATGTGGTGCTGTGGGTTCAGAAAGCCAGAGAGGGCCAAGGCAACTGGAGGGATGCACATGTGGAAAGGAAGGAGAGAGGGTGGAGGGAAGGGCCTGTGCTTTTCTCTGTCTGTCATAGGGAGGCAGTGGGAGCTTTAAGCACGAAAGACATGCTCTGACCACACTTTGTTTTTATGTTTTGCAGTAGTGGCAAATGAACCCAGGACCTTTTCACTGAACTATATTCCCAGCCCTTTTTTTTAAATTCCTTTTTTTATTAGTAGGATTTTAAGAAAACTAAAAAAAATTTGAGACAGGACTTTATTGAATTATTATGTTTCTCAGGCTCAGCTTGCATTTGCAGCCTTCCTGCCTCAGCCTCCCAGAGTGCTGGGATAAAGGGTATGCACCAGAGTACTTGGCCTGAGCACCCCTGAAAGGATCACCTTGACTGCTGTGTTAAGAATAGGTTATGGGTTTATCCTTGTCACAGAGCTACTGTGATAAAAACAGCACAGTACTGGCAGAAAAACAGACCTGAGGATCAATAGAACAGATTAGAAGATACAGAAACAACTCCAAACACACTCAGCCACCTTATCTTTGACAAGGGGGCCAAATACCTTCACTGAAAGACAGCCTCTTTAATAAATGATGCTGGAAAAACTGGCTTTCCACATGCCAAAGACTGAAACTAGATCCATGTCTGTCACCATGCACTAACCTACAATCAAAATGGATCAAAGAGTTAAATAGTAAAATGGAAACGCTAAATCTACTGGAAGGGAGAATAGGTAGAGCCTTTGAAGACACAGGTGTAGGTAAAGGCTTTATGAGCAAAACTGGATTTCATGTGAAATACTACAAACAAATCAACAACTGGTGTCTCATCTTACTAAAATGCTTTTGCATAGTAAAAGAAATCACCAACACAGTGAAGAGACAACCCACAGAACAGGGAAAATTTTTTAGTCAGCTGTTCCTCAGACAAAGGTTTAGTATCTAGAACATACAAAGAACTGAAAAAAAAACAACAACCAAGGCCCCCAAATGTAAAGACCCCATCCAAAAATTGCATCTGAAATGATACATACTTCTCAGATGAAGAAATACAAGTAACAAGTAAATATAGGAAAAAATCTTCAACATCACAGTCATTTGAGAGATGCAAATGAAAACAACACTGAGATTCCATCTCACCCCAGAAAAAATGGCTACCATCAAGAAGTCAGTCAATAACACATACTGGAGGGGCTGGGGGGAAAAAGGAGCCCTTCTCCACTGTTGGAGTGTAGGTTGGTACAATCAGTGTGGAAATCCGTGTGGATATTCCTCAAAAAACTAGGATTAGGGGCTGGGGAGATGGCTCAGTAGAATAAATGCTTGCCTGGCCAGTGCAAGGGCCTGAGTTCAATCCCCAGTTCTGCTAAAAAAAAAACAAAAAACAAAAAACAAACAAAAAAAAAACCCGAAAATAACAACAACAACAACAACAACAACAACAACAACAACAACAAAACCTAGGATTAGAGCTTCCATTTGACCCAGCTGTTTCCCTCCTGGCTAGCTTCTGAGGAGAATTAAAAGCATCATACTACAGTGATAGACACACATTCATGTTTATAGGAGCACAGTTTGTGATAGCTAAATCTTGGTAACAGCCCAAATTCCCATCCACTTATGAACAGACAAAGAGGATATGTTTTTTTCTTACCATGCAATACTAGTCAGCCATAAAGAAGGAAAAACTTGAGACGTTTCTAGGTAAATGGATGTATCTTGAGACCACATTCTTAAGTGAAATAAATGAGAGACACATGTGTAAATATTATATTGTTTCTCTGGTGTGAGAAACCAAAAGTGTAAATAAGGACCAAAGTGTATAAGAGATATTGTGAAATAGGAAGCAATTGTTCAAAAGGAAAGGGGAACTGAGGAGGATAGAAGGGGAAAGGAAGGAAGAGAAGAGAAAAAAATGTAAAAAGAAAGATAAAGTGGAAACAAAGCTTTGTAAATAAGGAGAGGAAGAGGGGTTGAAGGGAGGGCTATGGAACGGGAAGAAAAGAGGAATCAAGATATATCATGTACATGATGTTACAGTACAGGTTCTCATATGTAATGAGTCCTCACTGACCTGGGAAGGCTGGGGCCAAAATGTTGGCTGTCCTTGCAGCCCTTCTTTTTCTCTAATTTTTAGTCTACAAACTGAAGTTGTTAACCCTCCGGAAGAGAAGCTTATTACTATTACTCTACAATAGGCAGTTGAGTTTAACCTCACTATCTGTCTGAATATTAAGCATCTTAGATATAACATGGAATGGGTATTTTCCATTAAGTATTGATATGTTAAACTTTTAAGTCCCTACACAATATGAAGGAAAAAAAAGTTAAAAAATTAAAACAAATTTTAAAAATAAGAATGAACAATTACATAGTTTTACACAGAAATTTAGAAATCTAACCATATGCAGCACTGTAGCAAGACAGTCCTACAACATTTTTTTCTTGTCTCTTGTTTTCATTTATTACCCTTTAAAAAAAAACACACACAAACATTTACTTGAGACAGTATGGCAGTAATTGGTATGACATGATAAACAGTACATATTTAGAAGACTGGAATGACATCATGTAACTCAGTTGTGTCCCTAATTTTCTGATCATGGAGATTATAGGGCCACAGAGGAAAGGGATTGATGATGTAGAGTGTGCCTAAGGAGAGTCACATGGAGAGAAAGCATTCTCTCAGGCTTTCACAGAGAACAAGTTGGTCAAGCAATGGCCGTGACTCATCCACATGACTGACACTGACAAAGGATCTACAAACTTCGGTACAGGGTTTCAGGGTAAATCCTGAAGGGATTTGACTGACCTTGGCAGATACAAAAGTTTTCTTGTTATATAGATTTTGCTTTATCTTGGTCTTAACCATCCAGCAGAAAAGTATAAAAATGAAATATAAAAAATAAAACCATATTAACACGCTGAGCTTTAAAAGGCTCAAGTCAACAACTTCTGACATTGCCAGTCCTACAGAAAACCCACTACTATTATGGACTACAGGACTATATTGGAATATTTCGCTGAATTACACACCTACAATATTTAAATGACAATGAAATACCCATCTCTGACAAAACTAAACAAAAAAAAGGGATACAAATGAAGGACTATGGGGGCCTGGCCCTATCTCAGTTCTTTAAGTGGCTGCTTCCACAAAGCTGTCAGCCTCAGGTTGCTGTAGTTCGATCCCCACAACAGTCCAGCCAGCCAAACCTGTGCTGAAGGCATTCCAAGCAAAAACAAAAAAAAATGAAGGACTATTTTGTATCTGTATATTCAAAATAGGATAGATATACAGCTCCTTTCTCTTAATTCAATGAATGAAAGATTTGTACTAATAGTGTTTGTGGACAGGATATCATGTCTGCATCTTGTACTATGAATAACCACTAAGAAGACAACAATATGCAATGTATTAATTATTGAAACTGTCCTACTAATTGGTTTTGAAACTGTCTCATTGCTATTTATTTCTCAATATAATTATTTTAAAAAAGAAGAGTACACCTCAAAAAATATATCGTGTACAGGTACAAATTCTGTATGATTAATATTATCCTTATGGATACCTAGGGCCGGCCAAATAGCTCAGTGGATTAAAGCACCTGCAAGCAGGTGCAGGAGCCTGGGGTTCAATCCCCAGGCCTGCTGTGCTGGCCCTGCCCCAAGGGTGCGCTCAGATGGCGATTGAGACTGGGCGTGGTAAAGCACGCTTGCAATCCCAGCTCTTGAGAGGCTGTAAATAAGCAGATCACTATGAGTCCAATGTAGTAGTGAGAATCTTAACACCCTGTAGACCCTTTCCTAAAATACAAAAATAAAAAAAAGAAAAAGAAATCATTATGGATACCTAAATTGTACCAATAAACTTTAAAAAAAAATTTTTTTTTTATTTTTTCAGAACTGGGGATTGAACTCAGGGCCTTGTGCTTGCCAGGCAAGTACTTATTCCACTGAACCATCTCCCTGGCCCAGACTTTTTTCTTTCCAGAACCAGGGTTTGAACTCAGGCCCTTATCCTCACCAGGGAAGCACTTATTCCACTGAGCCATCTTCCCGGCCCCTAAATAAACTTAAATAATAAAAGGAATAGCCTTTAGAACCACTATGGAGAACAATTTTCAGATTTTTCAAGAAGTTAAAAGTAGACTCAGATCTGGGCATGGTAGCATATACCTGTAATCCCAACATTTGGAAAGAAGAGGCAGGAGGTTTGCTGTGAGTTCAAGGCCAGCTTGAACTACACCGCATGACACTGTCTTAACAATAACAATCACACCAAAATCAACCAACCAACCAACCAACCAACCAACCAACCAACCAACCAACCAAACAAACAAACAAAAAGTACACTCACCACATGATCCAGCAATCCCACTTTAGGGATAGATGTGAAAGCTGGAGTGAGGACTTGAGAGGTCTCTGCACGCCCACGGCCACAGCAGCATCGCTCATGGTAACTAAAAGGTGGCAATGACCCCAGTGGCCATCCATGGATGGACAACTAAACTGGCTTGAGGCTGCAGTCAAAGGCATAGGATCAGCCTTTGAAAGGAGGGTCATTCTGGTGTAGACTACACGACAGATGTCCCTGGAGAACATTATATAAAATGAGCCTTTCACATATACTGTGTTTCCACTTCTGTGAGGTCCCTGGAGTCCTCGGGTTCACAGAGACACTAAGTGGAAACATGGGTGCAGGGCAGGGATGGGGTGGTGTCTGAGAGGTGCAGGAGCTCAGTTGGGGAGGATGACAAGAGTTCTGTGGGCAGATAGCGGTGAGGGCGACACAAGGATGAGACTCGATGCCACTGACCTGTGCATTTAAAAATGGTTAACAGGATACATTTTATGTCACATGCATTTTACTGGCCTAGAAAATCAGGAAGAACAAAAAAAGGAAAGCAGTAGAAAGAAGGAGGAAAGGGAGGGAAAAAGGAAGGAAGCAAAGAAAAGAGACAGGAAGGAAAGAAAGAAGGAAAAACTAGGATCCAAAGGTGGGAGCCAGGAGGTTGGTGGAGGGACCATGCCGGCTGTGCTGTGATTGAGGCCCTGTGGAAGACACGGGGCTGCTGTCGCTGGGATGTCTCAGTGGTCGGGCTTCAGCGCCTCATCTCGCCTCTCACCTCTTCAGAGCAAAGGTGGGTGGAGGAAGTATGCAGGGTAAAGAGCGCGTGTGCAAGTGGAGGAGCAATGGAGGCTCAGGGTGGCTGATGAGCGCTCTGGGCTCTGCGGAGCAATGACGGAACACAGGGGCAAGTTCATTAAGAACGTGGTGTTTCATTCCAAGTCCTCTGGGCAGTGAGATGATTATCTACCCAGGCGCTGTGCACACTCTGCTTCCAGTTACCTGCTGTTGTGTTACTCATTGACCTCAAGATTGGGTAGGTGCAGGTTATTTGGATTTCGGTTTGCCATGTTAGTAGAAATTAAATTCATTTAATATTTTTATGAGCTGCCAACACCAGGATCTCATGGCTCTCTCCATCCCATCGCTCTGGGAAGCCAGGATTTCACTCTTTCTTTGCAATCTAAATTCTCAGGCTTGGGGACAGACCAGCTGTGTCTTGGTCTGTGGTATAAATCTCAGTGCCCAATAGGTGCTGTCAGTGTCCTTGTGGGTTGTCTGGAGTGAGTCAGGTGTTTGTTATTTTCTGGTTCTTCCCAGTCCAATCTTAATTTGGACACCTCCCTCCCCATAGCTATGTAATGCTTGGAAAAGAATGTTTTCTTCTACCAGCTCATCGGGATGATAAAGCTGGCATTAGTTTTGCAGTTCAGCAAACTCCCAGAAACCCATTCGCCTTGCAGGGAGCTGTGTAGCCAGTGCAGCCAGCCTCTCTCCTAACAGCCAAGATCAGCAGGGAAGGGTGCTGGGGGAGGTTCCTCCACTGAATCTTTTTCTATTTTTTGCAGAAAGAAGTGGAGGCTCTTCAAGAAAGGATGTCTGCACTGGAGGCAAAAGATCAGCAGCTGAGAAGGGAGATAGAGGAACAGGAGCGAGAACTCCAGTGGGAGCACTGTGGCCTGGGGACACTGGTGGCCCAGCTACCCCGGGACCAGCTGCAGGAGGTCACTGAAGCCCTGAGGGACACGATGGCTTCTGCCAACCAGATCCCCTTCCACGCAGAGCCACCTGAAGCTGTCAGGAGGTATTGGTGACTTCCTGATTGTTGTCACTTGCCACCTTGACCTGTTGTTGGAATGACTGTTTGCTGTTCATTGTCTGTAAATATCTTCCAAGTGGTCTGTATTTTCCAGTGGAAGTGCTGGCGGTGTTCTGGTGGGTTCTTCACCATGTGGGACAGCCATAAGCATGGGAGATTATTTCCATCCTGTCCACCCAGCCTGCCCTATGCCCGCTCTCCTTTCCCTTCCTGTAGGCAGCTTCTCTGTTTCTTCACTGCCTGGGCAGTTTCTTTCCTTCTGAGAACTACTAGAGTTCCTTGGCTTGGGCTTCTGATGCCAGCTTCTGTGGAGGATGACCCTGGAGAGAGATGAACTAGCTGACCTGTGTGTCAGAGAGAGGGGGTGGCTCAACACCAGTGTTTTTGTCTGGAAGAATGGACTGGGATGGGCAGGGGGCATTTGTTGAGTGCTTCCCCTGTGTCGGACACTGTGCTAAGCTTTATTCCATGAATTGCATCCATCATGGCCATTTGATAGATAAGGAAGAAAAATCTAAATTAGTAATTTCAGTCTCTGTTCATTAATTCTGAAGCCTGGTTTCATATCTATTCTATACAGAGTAGGGTCTTCCTTGTGCTCCATCATGTTGGGGAGGGTGCCAACAGTCAGCTCTCTCATAGCCTTCAGGGGCTCACACTCTTATTTTGGAGAGAGATAGGCAGAAAAGACATGAGCACAGAGAAGTGAGTAGCACCTGGGTAGACTGCAGAAGGGTAGTGAGGATGGTGGGTGCCACAGGTGCCACCCAAGCAAAGGGACCTGCATTATATGTGGCCCTAGTGCTTGGAGCTCCCTAAAGCTCTCAACCTGTGCTGGTCTGAAAGGAGCCTCACTGAGTCGCTACTCGGCTGACTTGGGGTGGGATGTTGCTGACACCTGGCTTAGGGGTACATGCAAGATGAGCGAAGCTAGCAACTGACTCGCTGCAGGACCTGGATGGCCTGCGCACTTCATCCTGCTTTCTGCAGCCTGTTTTTATTATTATTATACTTTACACTCCTGAGGCCACCTGTCTACAGTGCCTGTCTACAGTGTCACAGAGCATTCAGGAGTGGCCCTTCTCTTCTACATGTAGCAGCACGCCACAAGGGCTGCTCCAGGGAGTCACTCAGGATCCCTCCCATGCCTTTCTGTCCCTCAAATTTTCCCATACAGAGCCATGGAGAAGGGGACAAAATCTGGGCTGTGTCTAGATTTCAGCCAAGTGCAGCTGATCTGGTCTCTGCTGGGGCCTTCACACCATGTGCGTGCTGTGGCCAGGTGTGGGGCGCAGGCTGCTCTTGCTGTTTTCACTGCACTTGAGAAGACCAAAGCTCAGCAAGTTTCCTGCTGACGCAGCAGTGAGAGCATCGTATGGACACTGGTGAGGACTTGGGTCAGCACCAGTAAATGATTCCTGCTGGATAGTCAAGAAAGGTGCTTCCCCTCCAGAGGCACTTTCATAAACAGAAGCAGGGATGTCTGTGGTGTCGTAGGCTGGCGAGCTGGGCCTAGAGCTTGGATCATCTGATTTCTAATTGATGCTTCCACTCATGCATTGTAGCTTGCATTTTATTTCCTATTTATTTTTGAAGAGTAGGAAGAATTTATTGAGAGAAAGAAAGCTTCTGTCTAGGAGGGACAGAAGGGGGTCCAAAAAGTGGGTTGCCTGCCTGCTTTTCAAAGGTGCCTATTGAGCAAGGCCAGGAGGTGAGGCGGGTTCAAGGTGAGGTGAAACTATAGTCAACCAAGAAGACCACAAGTATAGTCACTTAGGTGATACTGACCCAATGGGAAGTTGCAGGTGGCTGTGAGAGGAGACAAAGCTGGTAAACCAGTAAGATTACCACAAATATAGTTGCTTAGGTAATATTGATTAAATGGGGATCAAATTGGGAAGTAAGTCATGTAGCAGGAGCTTGCATTTTGTTCAGCACCACTATAGCATGGTGCAGCACCGTCTGGGAGTTCTCAGAGGTGACCATCGGTACTAGTTGTGAGGGTGGGCTGAGCATGCTACCGTGCTGCCGGGGCTGGAGGGTCCCATTACACCAGATGCAGATATTCCCACAGAGGTCACATAAGTCACCAGCGATCTGCTCTTGCCTATTATGCTGGTGACCAGAGGAAACCTGGTGTTTTGAGCCCTTCTGGACCTTGTCATGGTCCAGAAAACCTCACATTTGTAATTACAGAGAAAAGTTATTGGAATTTCAATAAATTAATTCTAGTCTATGACTTCTAGTATAATACATGATGAGACTAAAGACACAAAGGCATATTTGTAGTTGTGGGGAGTCCTAAGCCAGCTCGAAGGATGACTAACTGGAACAAAGGCCTCTACCGAGGGCAGAACTGAGTTTTATAAATTTGTGAAGAGGGAAACTGCTTGGGAATGGGTGACTGTGAGAATGCCAGGAAGTACTTGAATGCTGGGGGAGGGAGAGAGGGAGGGAGCGAGGGGGGGGGGAGAGAGAGAGAGAGAGAGAGAGAGAGAGAGAGAGAGAGAGAGAGAGAGAGATCAGGGCCCTATTCTGTGTCTGATGTGTAATGCGTGCCCCGAGAAGTCGTAGGTTCTTCTAGAGGCCCATTCTCAGCTGACTGCACGGCTTCACTCTGCTAGCTCACACCTACTGCTTGGGAGCTGTAGGTGGAACAACACTGACCTGTCGCATTGCTGGAAGACTGCACCTCAGCCCCTCGGGCCAGCTCCCATTTGTATTGCTTAAAGTCGACTGAGGGATAAGAGACGTCCTAGCCAGCTCTGTACTATCACTCCATGGAGACAGGGCCAAATGCTCTTCTTTCAAGGAAAGCCATCCTCTACAGGTGTCTCTGTGGCTTTGCAAAACCTCAGGGGATTTGTGCAGTAGAAAATCTTAGGAAAATAAAGATTTTGCGGTCCAGTGACAGAAAGAATGTGGAAAACCGAATGACATAATGGGTTAAGTGGCTCTAGCATGAGATGCTCATGGTGAGCAGAGGGCCATCTTTGAGACAGTTTTTTGTTGTTGTTGTTGTTATTGTGTTTTACTTTTTCAGGTGGTGAATGACCATCCTGTGATATTCGTATTACCTGGCTTGTCCCTAGCAGGTGGTTCGTGGCTCCAGCCTTACTCACCTTGAGGAACAGGGAGGCCCGTCTCCTGATGGAGACAGGTTGTGCACTGCGTATATTGACTCCTCAGCTTCTTCTCTCACCCTGAAAAGGGAGGTGTCAGGCTGCTTCCTGCCAAAAGCATGCGCTAAAACCCCCTTCAGTGTGTGGGCCTTTGCTATGGTTTGAATTGAAAATGTGTCCTAAGAGGTTCATAGGCTGAAAGCTTAGACCCGCGCATCAGCCTGCAGAGGTGGGGCCTAGAGAGGTGACTGGCTCTTCAGGGCACTGACCTCATGGATAGGTGGATCCACGGGTGAGTTCAGACACGGTGGGCTGTCAGGAGGTGGGCCCAGGTAGAGGGAGTGGGTCACAGGGCGTGACTGAAGGGTGCATCTGCTGCGCCGCAGCCTTCCTCTCTGGCTCTCTTTTTCTGCTTCCCAGGAGCCAGGAGGGGAGCAGCTGTCCTCTGCCACCCGTGGTGGTGCTGCAACTATTAGAGTTGCAGTGGGTGGAGCCTGCTGATCATAGCCCTACACTACTGAAACCACAGGCCAAAGAGAGCCTTTCCTCTCTAAACTGTCATTTTCAGGTATTGGTCACAGCAAATGAAAAGCTAGTTAACACCAAAATAGGTCACTGTGGTGTGCCTCTGAAGGGTGTCTTTTGTCCCTGGCCTCTTCTCTCTCTCTATGCTTCCTGGCTGCTCTGAGGTGAGCAGCTTTGCTCCAAGTCCCCCCAGCCCTGAAGTTCTGCCTCCCAGAAGCTGACTAACCCAGCTTTCCTTCCGAGCACGAAGACACAGCTTTTCCTTAAAGGGCCGCAGCATGGGTTCTCTGAAGTGGAGCGTTTACAAGAAGTCAGTGTGGAGTCTGTGGCTCAACAGACTGGAGAGATTGCTTGAATCATCCATGATCCTGTAAGCTCAACTTTTGCTATCAAGTGTTGGTTGTCTTTTAGATAGTGCTGCCGAGGGGCATGGCCTGTAGCGGTCCTGTCAGAGGAGGAGTTTCTCCAGAAGCCAGGGAGAGATTGAGGTGGACTGCGGAGTAGGGAAATCTTGAAGTCTTAAGAGGACAGGTTTCAAAGATCAGTGTTGCTACAAAACCTGGGGAAACAGAACACGGCCTATGACTGTTACTGTCTCCATCCATGGAGATTCTCAGAGTTGAGCTGCAAATGCTGGGTGCTGTATGGACAGGAGGGGCTTCCTCCACATGGCATATGGAAGGTCATTCTTTCCCTGGACAGAACCACACGAAAGCTTGGAGGGCAAGTCCTGAGAACAGCTGCATTCTGAGTGTGACACTGGGAATGTTGTCCATTTCTTGGGGCAGTCATTTCTTTTCATTCTCTTTTGGTGCTGGGAATTGAACCCAGGCCTTCAAACTTGGAGGTGGATGTTCCACCACTGAGCTCCACTCCCATCCCTGAGGCCATCATTTTTGACTAGGGTTTTGTGCATCCATTGGCCAGCCTCAGAGAGTTTAATGTTAGCAGGGCCTATGCAGAGCCAGGCAGCTGCAACTGCCTTTTGTTTGAGTGATGCTAGAGACCAGAGTGGCGGTTTTGGCTTCCTGTCTGTTTGGGATTGCGTAAGTTAGCAGGAGGCGAGACAGCTAAGCTGTGCCAAGCAGAGCTGACAAAAGGGCTTTTCTTCCCCAGACAAAAGGAAAGCAATTTTTAAGCACTGGGTGGACCAGGAACTCCACAGCAAGGAGGATGACAAGGCAGGATATGGAACAGAACAGGAGCCACTTACGAGAGTATTTACAAGTTGGATTTCCCTCATCCCTGGGGCACTGAAGATAGCATTGTGTAATAGAAGGGTCACGCTTGGAATGCCTGTCATTCTGGTCTTCTAAATATGTACTTCTTGTCATGACA